TAACGTTATAAGCATATTTTTAAATATTCTATTCATTTATAGTAAAAAGTCATATAAATATATATATATATATAATATGATCTAGTTAAATATTTTACCTTGTATATTTTTATTCAAATATAAGAAATTGTGAGAATATTTTAGTGTCCATAAAATTGTCATTAAATAATTAGCCAGATTTTCTGTCTTCCTTTTTAGATTCTACAATTAAAGACACTGTCAATAAAATACTTCCTCTATTCCATATAATATGGATGAATTACTGTAGATACGGAAATTTAGATAAAATATAATTAGTAAAAATAATTATTATTTAATAAAAATAATTATAGATTAAGATTAAGATAAATAAATAGTTTAATTAAAATTAAAAAATTTATAAAATTTAAAATGCGAGTAAAGTGCATAATTATATTTTCAAAATTAGAAATGATAAGTTATGTGTGACGGATGAAAATAAAAAATAGGGATAAATGATGTGGAACGGGAGCGAGTAGCAGGAGTAGTATAAAAGTTGTCACAGGCATAAAATTTTAAAAATTAAATATTTGTCAAATCTGGTAAAGAGTAATTAGTCCTTATTATTACATAGCATTTAGGATTGGTCGTTTCTTAATTAAAAAATAATAAAAATTTAAAATTTAAATTCTATTTTGATATAGTTATAAAAAATATACTAATCTCATTTAAAAAATTTAGAACATACAAATAGTAGAGCTGGCAATGGATTGATTCGTGTTTGATTTGTATCGGGTTGAATATTTTAAATGGGTTAAATTATTCAACAATAACCCGACCTGTTTATTATCGTGTCGGGTTCGGATTGACTCGTGTTGACCCGTATACATAATTAAGTCGAATTTCTTAATTCAAATTAAATAATCCTTTATTATGTTGTCGTGTTATGTTAGTTTTTATTGGTTTGAGCGTAAATTAGGTTGAACTATTTAAAATTGAACTTAGTTTAAATTAATTTATGAGAAAATTATTAAATTATGATTATTTTACATATATAATAAATATATTAATCAATATTAATATATTATAATCGGGTTGTCATGTCGGGTTCGAGTTGAGAGCCCCAACCCTAACCCGACCCATTTACTATCGTGTCGGGTTCGTATCAACCGGTATATATAATCAAATTGAAATCTTTGATCCAAATCCAATTATTTCGTGTCGGGTCAGTTTTTGCCGAGTCTACGTAATAGTATAAGAGAAGAATGCATCTACAGTTTTCTTCATTAATTAGTAAACAAAAATAAGTATTTAATTTTGATTGGTTTATAGGAGGCAAAATAAATAAATAAATGTGTCACGCATTAATTTAACTTAATTTCGCAATTAAACCTATGAAATGCCATTTATTTAATTTTTAATTCAGAAGATGAAATTATAAGCTCCTCTACACCTAATAATTTTCTTTCCTTTTTATTTATTTATTTATTAATATTATAAAAATATAATATTTTATTCGTTCGAATTATACATATTTATTTAAAATTTTCACATGCATCTTAGTACATTAGTATTTTATAAATAATAATACAATAAAGATATATAAAAATAATTTTGCCTTTAAACTTATTTATTTTTTAACGATATTATTTGTAATATTGCACAAAATGTATAGTTATTTTTTATTAAATAAATTCTTTTTTTACTAAAAAAGAAAATAAATTCATTTAAGTTGGACCGATAAATAGTTGAGTATGACTCCGATGGAGAAAATATATATTTTTACATAAAATATACTATTATATAAAATCTATCAACTAAAAAAAAGAAAAAAAAAAAAAAAGTAGAAATTCAATATAAAGTTATTAACTTTTTATATTACCAATATGTTTTTTCATGCCTAATATTTAAGAAAATACCTCAAGTTCAAACCATGAAACAAATATACTCTCTTATATATTTTTTCTGTCCGGACTTAATATTTCTTCATATTTTATAATAAATTAAAAATAATAATATTTTATAGTTTAGTGAAAGTATTTTAAATAATTTTGACATTTTGTCCTTGAAAAAATAAAGAAAAATGAATGTTTTTGTAAATTTTAGGTGTTTTGATATTTACATATAATTATTTTTATTATAATTAAAAATAATATTTTTAAATTAGATTAACGAAAATAATTTTTAAAAAAATAAAAAATAAATTGAGCTGAGCCGGACAAAATATTATATACATCTAGTAAGCACACTTGCCTTGTGAAAAATATAAGGTGTATTGACATTGTATTTTTAGATTGATACAATTTTTTATATTAAGTACCGGTAATTGTGCTCGTAATATAGATAATATTTTATAATAAAACGTTGATTTTTGTGTGTAGATAAAATATATACTCCTAATATATATATTATTCGTTTATTGTAATGCGAAAAGTTAAGTAAAATATATTTAATAAATAATTTAAAAATATATTAATAAAAAATTATTATGTAATATTAATAATTATATATTAAACTTCAAATAAGTAATTAATTTAATTAAATTTTTTAAAAATATTAATTATAAAATTTAAAATATAATTAAATATATAATTATTTTTTTAAAATGATTATTGGGTGAAAACACCCATACTATTTCATTTTTGTTTTTATTATTCTTTTTAACAGAATTAAAGGGTTGTTATTTTAATATTTAAAATTAAAGTTAATATTAGTTCATCATATTAGAAAATATAGTACTATTTTATTTCATAAAACATTACATTCATCGTGCTATCTAAACAAATTCTGTCAGTCCATTTGCAATGTTTACGTATTTCTATTTTGGGGCGTTCAATTACAAAGTTAATATTAAATACCCTAATTTTTTCCATAAATACCCTTACTTTACATCACATAATTACTTTTACAGAAAAAAATTAAGGGCAAAAATGTCATTACACTATTTTTAACTACTCACTATAATTAAAATAATATTATTTCTTAAATACCGCATCAAAAGTAAATGTCAACCTTCTAAAATAAACGAGGGAGTACTTAATTATTATTATTATTATATTTCAAATTAATTTCATACCACAATCAAACAATCCAATAAGGTTAGTTCAGTTTGAGTATCAAACCATTTTTTAATGTTAAATCTAGTTATCAAATAAAATTTTTATTATTCATAAAACATGATTTTTAATAAAAATATGTCAATTTTTTAAACAAAATATTATATTCAAAATAGGATTATAATTTAAATAAAAACTCATATATTCGCCATTCATGTTAAAAAGTATATATTACTATTTATATTATATTATACTAGTCCCACATTGGGTGTCTTGGTCACTGTAGATACGAGAATCTAAAATAAGTATAATTAGTAGATAATTAAAAATATATTAGTGAAAATAATTATTCTATTATAGATTAAGATTAAGATAACTAAATAGTTAATTAAAATTTTAAAAAAAATTGAATTAGAAAATTTAAAATAAAATTAAAATGGACAATCATTTTTCAAAAAACGAAAGTGACATGAGATGTGAGACAGACAGAAACGATGACATGGACATAGTAAGTTGGACGAAGGGAGTATTATTTTTTTCCTATCAAATGTACTTTCATTTTTTCTAAATCGGTCTATTAAATTATTAATTTTGAAAAAATTAACAAATTAATATTTAATTATTAATTTTATTAACATTTGTTTATTATAAATTATCACTAATTCATTATATATATATATTTAATTTCTAACTAAAATTTCAAAAATATATTCAATCATCTTTTACTGTTATTATTTTTTTAATAAAATATTTATTTTCTTTTAAATTTTTTGTGGAATCCAAATATTCTAATTTTATCGTATGGAAAGAATGTAAAAAACTAATCATATTTAAGAGTTTGTGGTTATGTTTTTCTTCATTTGGTTTTATTATTTATTTACAATAAAGTTTATTTAAAATATACTCATTATACATATATTTTACATTAACAATATTATATAAAAAGAAAAAAAAATCTATAATATCAAATTATATAATTATTGCAATTTAATTTTTATGGGTGTGTTTGTTTGGGGTGATTGGATTAGATTTACACTATTTATCCAATTTTTTTCTCCAAAAAACATCAAATCAAACACCTATTTTTCATTTTTTATATTATATTAAAAGTCAAATTTACATTCAAAACATCACATCAACATCTATTTATATCACATCATACAACTATTAAAATTCAAAATTTTTACATTCACGGAATAGTTGTATGATGTGATATAAATAGGTGTTGATGTAATATTTTAAAGATAAAATTGATTTTTAGTATAATATAAAAAATGAAAACACATTCTACAAAGTCAGTTGCATGTATATTATATTCCGTGAATTATTACTTATGATAATAATATAACAAGTAGTAATTTTTTGTAAAATTGATAGATTATGTACACACAATATTTAAATATATTACGTAAATGAACTTTTCTAAATTAACTAAAGAGTCTGAAAAGAGTGAAGATTGTTTGCTTATATTATTGTAATATTTTGTATATTTTAAGAGTAAAATTTAATTAGAGTGAATTAAAATTAATCCAATAGCATAACTAATTGGCTATCAATAAAATAATCCCTAAATATCATAGTGAATTAAAATTTGTATGATATATAATTATGTGTATCCCAAGCAAATCCAATTTTGTAATAGAACATTTAAATATAAAGTATTTATATTTTTAAAAAAGGAAAAAGAAAATTGCAATAGAACATTTTTATAATAATTATTTATATTTAAAAAAAAAAGAAAAAAAAAAGAGATAATGGATAAAATAAATAGACAATAAAGGAGCCACGTGGCAGCATAAGGCCCGAGAGCAGGTTATTATAATTGGGAAAGTGACAGTTGTGCCATGTAGGCACCGGTTAATCTTGGCCGTTGGATGAAGGATAAGATCGGACGGTGGAGGAGGCACTCCTGGGTCGACATAGAAATCGACGCCGTCCATTTCGGCTACGGAGTAGGTTTCGCGTGAGAGTTTAAAATGACAAAAAAGAGCAGATTACACATTACAGAGAGAGAGAGGGGTAGAGAGAGAGAGAGAGAGAGAGAGGAAAGCACGCAAAAGCAGAGGGAGAGACGGAGAGAAAATTTCAACAGATTTCAGTTTCATTTTGTGAATCTCAGAGAGTGGGAACGAGGTTTGTAGATTTTGTAGATTTGGTGTTTGTTGGTGGTGATAATGGTGGAAAAATCTGGTGAATTGTGTTATTGATTGGAGGAAATTTGCAGGAAATGGAGAGGAACAGAGATTTCCGGAGAGCGACTGTTTCCAGCGTCAATGGTTTGCCGAGGAGGCGGCAGAGAATCACTACGCTCAGAGATTCAGCTGGTTCGACAAATCCATGGATAAACTCTGCAGATTGGATTTTGCTTTTTTGTGAGTGTGTTTCTGTATGCTGTATTTGATTTGGTTTTGGATTGTGCAGACGAAGATAGGCAGATGGAATCGAAGGATAGCGTGAGGTTGAGAGATCGAGAGCGGTTGCTGAAGAAGGAGCGAGATCGAGAGTTTCCGAAGAGAAGGCGAGTGGATAGGTCTGCGGCGGAGCAGAGCGGTGGCGGCGGCGGCGGCGACAGCTACAGAGAATCCGAGATTACCGACACCAGTGACGAAGAGTACTATGAGGAGGAAGAGGAGCTAAAAAATTATCACCATAAAGGAACGAACCAATTGTCGCCATCGTCTTCCTCCTTGTCGAACAACCGGCGAGGCTTCCGCACTCTCAGGTCGTCTCCGGTGTACAGATTCCCTTCCGATGAAATATTTGGCGTTCCTATACCTCGAAGAACTCGCTCTGGTATTTTTATCGTTTTTCGGAATCTTTGTACCTTGGTTGTGGCGTCTCTTTTGGTTTAGTTCTGTCGATTAACTTTTTGAACCTCAATCTGTTCTTAGTTTCAGCGAAGAGGCTGCAAAAGCGCTGGATCTCAGAGAGCTTGGGATTTGGTGAGGACTCGAACAACCGGAGATTTTCTCCGGTGAGTCCGATAGGTTGCGGCGGCGGTTCTCCGTCCTCTTCCAGTGATTCAATGAAGAAGAAGATGGTTAGAGCCGTTTTCATGGAAATTCATTTTTACCATATCGGAGATTCGATTTTGTTGACTGAGATTTCTTCCCTTGTTTACAACTCCACAGAAATCCGTAGCGCCGAGAATTCGGGTTTTAGGTATTGCATCCAATTCAAAGCCATCGGTAATCCAAGACGACATCGAGATCGAGGTAGCTGAAGCACTATTTGATCTGATGAAGCAATCACACTCACAATCTCAATCTCAATCTTCCAAGATTCACGAAAAGGCTGACAGAGATAGCATGGATACAGCTGATTGCGGTTAGTCCGTAATTAATTAATAAATTAATTATCATCTTTTCCCTAACTTTGCTCAATCGAGGATTTCGTGAATTACAGATTTACAGAGGTTAAAATCCATGGCAGATCAGAACGATTCCATTTCAATTCAGAACGAGAAACCAGGAGGAGAAGAGAGTGCTGAAACAATTGCAGTTGACGCAACGAAAGATCTGAATAAAGAAGGAAGGGCTGAAAAGGAGAAAATTTCGGATGAAGCAGGAGATGATGGGTTTGTGAATAAAGGAACACTGGGGTCGCAAAAAGAAAGCAAATCGCTATCATGTGTTAAAGTAAATGGTGCTTGTGATATTAAGGATCCGACAGTGACAAAAGCGTGAGCACCTCTAGTTTTTACTTTTCGTTTACAACTTTTCTTTCTCTCTCTCTCTCTCTTCTGTATTTCTTTTATTTTTTATTATGATTTTAATTCGTCTTCTTCGCAATTCCGACGATTTCCGTTGTGGGGTGGGTGCAGGGAACATGGAGGAACTGTGTTTGGGGGTAACAGAGTGGCCAAGCTAGAAATTGATTTGATGGTACAAAAGCTGTTATTGCCCTTTCCCTTTCCCTTTTTTGGTTTCTTTCCACATTCTTAAAATATTCTGCTCTCTACAGGCTTCTCCGCCGCCGCCGTCGTCGCCGGAGCGAGATCCCCTGGTTGCACCCGAGACTGGCCCTAAAAAGGCATGATCTATATATAAATATATATATGTGTGTGTGTGAATATATTTTGTCCGTGAATTTCTTACTGATTGAGTTGTTTGTTTACACTGCAGAAGACTGCAGAAATTCTTCCAGAGGACGGCCCTATGTCTGTTGCAAATCATCGTGATTTCGAGAAGCAGAAAAATCAAGGTAAGACATCCAACAGTTATTGTGCTTCCAGCCTGAATTTGTTGTTTGGTATTTACAAATGGAGTGTTATATATATGTATGTATGTATACTGAATAAGGAAGCCATGGTTTTGTGCAGCATCTTCCCTGTTTACTTCTCCAATCGGCACAACTAACTGGCCTGGTGTTCTTCCACATCCAGGGTTCGTATAATAACACAATTTTTGTGTTGTACATGTACTGTAACTTTAAGCTTATTCTTGAATCTGTGGTTTTGTTATGCAGCAATGTGCCATCCTTACCAACTGGTTTGCCGATAGACGGAAGCGCCAGATCCTTGATACTTAGGGTACCTACTCGAATCGATTCTTCATTACCTGTTTCTTACTATTATTATTGTTTCGATATTCACATTGAGAAAAATGCAGCCCCCTCAATTTAAGCTCTCACTGCCTCCGCCGAAGAGATGCGCGACGCATCAATACATTGCCCGCAACATCGACCATCATCAACAACTCATCAAGAACTCACTCTCATCCGAGCCGACACCAGCAGAGTCTTTGAACACAAAATTGATGCTTCCGCCAGCTCAAATATTGTCCGGAAATGGAAAAGATAAAAGCCCCTGTGGTGTATCTTTCAATGCTGCAAATGCTAAGCCTGTGGTTCTTCAACAACAGGCTGCTTCTTCTACCTCCACTCAAGCCCCAGCCAAAAATCCATCGGTAAATCAATTTTGGAACATCTTTTTGAGCTGGTGAATACGATTTTATTACAGTCCTGATATTGACACATTGCTTGCGACTGATTGTATGCAGCAGCAGCCCTTCTCCGGCTTCACGTTTCCTTTGGGATATCACAACGCCACCGCCGCCTCAATGATGGCGCCAGCAAGCTCTTCTGGACCACCTCCTCAGTCACTATCAGCAGCTGGCAGTTCATCATCATCATCTTTGACCTGTAATTCAGCTGGAGGAAAGGGATCGGCGAATTTGTCGTCGTTTCCTGCTGTCGGTTTCAACCACCCAATCTTCTCCTCCAATGGAACTGCTCCTCCTCCTCCTCCATACATGACAATCCTGCACAACAATGGCGGCCCAATCCCTATGCCTTCTTTCAAAGGAGGCTCCTCTACCATGCCCTTCCTCAACTCCTCCCTCTACTCGTCGTATCAGCTTCAGCCGCCATCGTCATCTTCCCGGAACGACAACAAGAATCCTCCTCCTTCAGTAGGCGGCGTTCAGGTCCTCTGGCCATCCTTATCGTCAGGCTCCAAGCCCGAATTGGAAAGTGGCGGCAGTAGCAAAGGGAACCATATTGGTAACGGCTCGTCGTTTCCTGTCCAGCCGATGAACTTCGCCGTGATCCCTCCTCTGTCTGTCGGCAGCAGCGGCGGAGTCGATAACAAGATCGGAGACCATTCTCATTCCCATTCTCAACAAGGCGCAAAGGGCGCGGCGTTTGGATTGTCGTTTAGCGCAAATCCTTTGGCGGATCCGGCAGCTAACTACTCCACAATGCTGCAAACCCCGGCCTTCTTCCAGATGCTAAACAGTAGTCAGATGCCGAAGAGTTTCCAGTCGCCGGCAGCCGAAGAGGCGAAGTTCACAAGCAACGGTGATCATCATCAGCCGTTCAACTTCTCAAAATCGGATACTTCCAACGTGCTGGCCGCTGCTTCCAAATTCGATGGCGGTTTATCAAGAAGTGTCTCCTACGGCCCTCCAACAATTCCGAATTTCCAGCAGCTGCATCATCAACAGCAATTGAATCAGTTACAGCAGCATCATGCTCATCAAATGCAGCAGCAGCAGTTTTCAGCTCAGGTCAAGGCCTCGTCCGGCTCGGGATCTTATTTCGGCGCCGGTTTTGGGAGTAACAGCCCGGTTTTCGCTCAGCTTCCGGATGTTTCATCGTTACAATCGAAATGGATGAACTATCCAAGATCAGTAATGCCTACTCTGGAAGGATCATCCCAACTGAAAACCTCTCAAGGCAAGTCGTCGTCGACAACTACGATGATGATGAATCCGACTCCGATAACATTTGAAAATGGCTCTGCTACATTACAAGGACAGAATATTACTCCGATGAAAGGTCATCGCCACCAGCCGGAATCCTCGCCGTCGTCGTCGTCTTCTTCGATGTCGAAGAATGGCAGCTTAAAAGGTGCTGGTATTATTGCACCATCATCATCATCATCCTCAACACCACCACAGGAGTCATCTGCTACTGCTACACCAGCTTGTAGAAGGAACATACCATCAATTCTAAGTACGTGTCCTCCCCAACTCTCCGAACTCAAGTATTGAATTCTGTATTGGTAGAGAGTGAGGAGGCAATGCAATGGTGCATAGATATATATATATATATATATATCAGAGGAGGATTCATTTCAAGTGTTGTGCCCAGAAGAATAATGAATGGTTTGTTTGCACCTTACCCTCTTCATATTCTAACTTTTGCTTTTTATTATTCTTTTTTCTTCATATTCTCATTTCTCAATAGTGGGTTTTGGGGCTTCTTTGCAGCAGGTGGGGAAAGGGACATGAACAGGAGCATGAAGGTGGATGGGAATTGAATGAAGAAGAAGAAGAAGAAGAAGAGGATTTTTAGCATTTGAGGTTAGCAGCAACTTCTTTCTAAGTTTTGGAATTATTACTTGTGAGGTTTTAGATGATATGGGGTAGGAGATATTCCTACCTATCTATGAGTTATACCCCTACCCCTACCCCTACCCTTACCCATACCCCTACTACCCTACCCTACCTAATCTGAGTGGTTGGCTATAAATGCGACACAGTTGTGTTGGCGTGCATAGACACACAAACACACATAGACACAGACTTCACTAATCTGTTATAGAATTCTCTATTCTATTCCATTCTATTCTTTCATTATCATTTATCACTGCCTGCTGAGTTTTTTTTTTTTTTTTGGTTTTTGGTTGGGGTGGGGTGGGGTTGTAGGGGACCATTCCTTGAAATCTTTTCTTGGCATTAAATATCAATCTATCTATCCTGATATTTGATTTGATGTATCACCATCATCACAATCAGTCTAATAATTACAAAAATATATACTACTACTATTATAATTATATTAGTCTTATGACTTATCCGCAAAAAGAGACGTATCACATGAAACCCATTATTATATCCGCAGAAAGTTCCCCAATTAGGCTCTCTTCTATATCATCCCCTCCGTTGTTAAAATGTAATCCCTGTTATGTAAAAATAGGCTCTTTCTACTTTGGGTATGAATTTTATTGTGTGTATTAAAATAAAAAATAGAATATGTTTTTTGGGTTGGATGCAAAGGTTAAAAATATAGTAATATTTTAATATAAAATTTAAAATTACATCAACTATTTTAGAAATACTATAAAAGATATATTTCATTAATAGTATGTGTTAAGGTGTAATAAGACAATTATTACCCCCTCCGTGCGGTTAAATTTATATTAGTATTATTTTTTTATTTGTTAAATTTATATCTATTTGTAAATATTTATTTACTTATAATTTTATTATTCTATTTTAATTAATAATAGTCAATTTAAATTATTTTTTATTTACTCTATTATTTTTAATCCACTTCTAAATAATTTTTCTATAATATTTTTTTGGTTTGTTTAACCACAATTTTGTTTTTATATTTAATATAAAATATTATTAAATGTTTTTATTGAGAGTTGGCATGAAATTTTAAAAATAATAATATAAAATTAAAGATGGATATAAAATAGAACCAAATTGCTCTTTACCAATAGTCGAAAAAATAAATTAAAATAACAATTAGAGTGTAATTTCTGTAAATATTATATAAAAAAAATAGAGATAATTTTATTTATAGTGAGAATCATAGTTTCATTTGACAAATGTTTCGAAACGAGGAAAATAAAAAATAAAAAATAAGACAATTTTTTTTGAACAAAAAAAACTATTCATATAAGAGTAATATTGTGTCTGTCATTTAAATAATTTATATTTCTTTTATTGTTATTAAAAAATATATATATTTTTTTATAGTAAAACAATATCATTTTTATTATTATTATATTATAAAAGAATTTTTTTACCCTTTTTTTTTAAACTCGTGCCCAATCAGGAAGGTAGTTGGAGTATAAATTTGTAGAGAGATTTAAATGACATAACATTTCGCTGTGCCGCATAAATGGACGGGACAGGACAGGTTAAGTTATTTAAGCAGATCAGATCACCACTCAAACACTAATTATTATTATTCCAAAAAAATATCTCTTTCTCTCTCTCTCTCTCTCTCTCTCTCTCTCTCTATAGATTATGAATCAACTTACCAAACTCGAAGCTGTTTAATTATTTGGAAGTAGAGTCTGATGAGCCAAGTTGAGGGCTACATCTTGCTGGGCTTTTTGATCGAATGGATGGCTCCCAATGTACAAATCAAGAATGGATCGACACAACACCTTGCTCTCAATGCTTCCCACTTCCTTCCCATCAACTGTTTCAATCTTACTATCAACAACAAATTCACCTTCTTTCTTATCTAAGGATCTATTTATCTTCATATCTTTTCAACTTTTAATACTATTCATTCACAATATTAACTTTTTTAAATAAATTTCATTTTTTTCTTTCACAAAGCATAACATCAAATCTTTAATTTTTACTTTTTTTTTTTCAAAGCTTAAAAACTTTCTCTATTAACATAGCTTTATAATTTCTAAAAATTTTCAAAAACTATAAAAACCTCTTATCCAAACGGAGCCTTAATTTTCAGTCTTCACCCTCAAGCCATGCATGTACAACAGCAAATTGGCTAGACGACATCGTATGCATGAAGAAGATACACGACTAAGGAAATAAAACCTTATCGACTAAGATATTAAAGACGAAAACTTACTGGATGTGCGAAGAACATAACCCTCCTCACGGGACAGATCGATGATGGATCCCCGAGGTATTTTGTATTCATCTCTGAATTGGGAGGTAAACCTGTTCATCGATTCAATTAATCTGTCCATTGTATATGTCCTAAGCAGATAATAATATGTGAATATATATATATGTGTGTCTTTATTTAACACATCTTGTGAAATCAATAGTAGTATATACTATTTGGAACTATATATATATATTGTCAATTCTTGTTCTGCATTTGCATTATATTAATATAAATGAAATATGCCAATAGGGCAAATCAAGACCAGCATATATAAAATCGACAGACTATTTGCTTTTATTTAATACTACTACATATAATACTAGCGGTAATATATATTATGTATAATTATGTCATGTGTCATCCGTCTGTATTATATTAACATAAATAATACTTTCTCATTCCCAACATTTTACCATTTTAGTCTATCGAGAGTATCTATTTCTTATTTTATTAGAAGTAATCATATACTAATACCAAAATACTTTTATTTGTTACCTAAATTATAAATATATTATTACACATATTAATTTAGGCATAAAGTGACAAAATATCAAAAACCTCTTATACACTTACATTAAAGTGGAACAGAGGAAGCATGTATATATATATATATATACAACACAAAATTCTTTGCAAATACCAAGGGTGTGTTTGTTTTGTGAGATAATTTGAAGGAAATTTTTTTGATGTGAAGTATAGAAAATTGTGTATGAAATATAAAAATAATGAAAGTATGTCATATATAAATATTTTTTTGAAAACGTGTGTGTGTTGTTTTTTTTGTTAAAAGAACACACCCTAAGTTCTCGAGCATCCACTCACCAAAACATCGTGAATGAATTCTTGAAATCAAAACATTAACTATACCGAATGATGAAGAGAACAATTAATAAACACCTTGGGTTTGTTCTTTTTTATTTTTTTCCCACATATCTTTTAAAAAATATGAATATCTCAAACACATTCTTTATCTTTATATTTTCCAAACAATTTTCTATATCTCACATAAAAAAAAAAATCTTTTCAAATTAATTTTCCAAAACAAACACACCTCTCAAGTTTGGATCATTCGAACAAACAAAACGAAGACTGATTTAGAAATTAGAAGCACACACAAATCATGCATAAACAAAAGAAATCTCCTTGATTAAGCATAGAGTGATTTACCTTTGTAGGAGTTCTTTGTTATCCGATCCTTCGAAGTTGCGCAATCGGCTTCCAACCGACTCCTCAAAAGCACTACGCACGGATCGAATGCTCAACCTGCCATAAACTATCTGCAGCCTAACAGTCATCTTCACATCACTTTCCATAAGATCATCCCTCAGTTCTTCCTTCACCTTCAGTTCAGACGGCGAAAACTCTCTGTACTTCTCACCAAGGTGCTTCTTAACACCATCATCATCCGCATACACACCTGTACAGTAAACAAAAAGCTCAAATCGATTGGCAAATACGACCAGAGCTAAATCAACATTAGGTTTTCTCCCAAATTGTTTGTACTAAATTCTAAGAGCCTCACAATTGCAATTAGTCATGTGCAAGTCAACATCTACAGAGAACAGAGAACAGAGGTAGCCGAATCGTGTGAAGAACATCAGAAATGGCAAATTCAAATTGAAAATTCAGAGGAAGGAATGATTTCTATACAGAAAACAAAAATGTAGAATCCAAAAACAAATATGACCAGAGCTAAAACAACAATAGGTTTTTTTCCAAATTTTTTCGTTCTAAGAGCCTCACAATTGCAATTAGCCAAGTGCAAATCAACATCAACAGAGAACAGAGGTAGCCGAATCGTGTGAAGAACATCAGAAATGGCAAATTCAAATTGAAATTTTCAGAGGAAGGAATGATTTCAATACAGAAAACAAAAAGGTAAAATCCAAAAACAAATACGACCAGAGCTAAATCAACATTAGGTTTTTTTCCAAATTTGTTCGTTCTAAGAGCCTCACAATTGCAATTAGCCAAGTGCAAGTCAACATCAACAGAGAGCAGAGATAACCGAATCGTGTGAAGAACATCAGAAACCGCAAGTTCAAATTGAGAATTCAGAGGAACGAATTACGAATGGCGTACCGAAAGCATAGACATCAATGTTCTTCAACCCTAGAATAGCTTTCCTCCGCACGCCGACGCCGAGGAGCCGCTGAGAGTCCTTTATAACTGCGGGGAACGACATTCCGGTCCTGGATTCAGTAACAGGAGACGACGAATTATCCGCCAGCGAAAGAGAGCAGAAGCCATTTCTGCTGGAGGTCAATAAATTCAGCGCGGTTGGAAGAAATTGGAAGTCGGAGTTTAGTGAGATAGCGACGCCAGCGCCTGCCGTGGCGGCGACGGCGACAGATGCTGCGACGGCGGTGGCCGGGAAACGACGGGGAGTGACATTCGGCGGTTGGGATGGCTGAGAAAACGAGAAAGGAAAGCGAAAGGATACCATTGATCGAGGTTTGTTCTGACAGTTGTGAACTTGTGAGTTGTTTCTTAATGCTGCTGTGCTTGGTCCCAAAATCCCCAACCTCAGACCCTAATTATGAAAACCCACCGATTTATTTGATAATGATTTTTTAATTTTTCTTTTTATGAATATTGGATGTGTTTTTTAGGAGGTTTTTGAGAAATTTGAATTTGAGTTTTGTTTTTATTTGAATTTTGAGATAATTTGAATTTTGATGTTTATTTTGGGTTTGAGTTTGATTGGAGTTCGAAGAGTTTTGATATATATTGATTTGATGGGTACGAATATAATAATATAAATATACAGTATTTTGTATAATTAAATTATAAATTTATATACTATTTTTATATATATTTTTTAAAATTTTTATTTATTTGTATTATAAAAAATTTTATTCTTTACAAAATAATATATTATCTCCATCCAGTTATAAAGTATATTAAAAAGTATATCCAATTTTTTTCACAAATATCTTTACTTTACATCACATCATTAATTTTAAAAAATAAAAAATAAAAGAAAAATATCGTTATACTTTTTTTACTACCCACTAAATTAAAATATTATTATTAAATACTATGTCAAAAATAAATATTTAATTTATGTATCGTTAAAATATAATTATTATAATTTTTTATATTTATAATTTAAAAAAAAAAGAAAAAGAAAAAGACAGACTCTGGACAGAGTTTGTCCCCCTAGTCACCTCCAGCCCAATTTTGGGCTGGAAAAACAGACCATTATCTACATAAAATTAAATTTAAGAGAATAGGTACGTTCAAAATTAATATTCCTTCCGTCTCAAGTAAGGTATAATTAGTAAAAATAATTATAAATTAAAATTAAGATAATTAAATAATTTAATTAAAATTTATAAAATTTAAACTTTAAAATAAAATAATATAATTATATTTTAAAATAAAAAATGACAAATTATTTAGAACTGTCGAAAATAAAGGGATAGAGTGATCACTGTCAGAGTTTTATCAACAAAATTTAAATAATACTCTCCTTCTGTTTTTTTGGAATTTTATATTCATTTAGTTGAATATGAATTTTACTTATTATTTTTAATAAATGTGATAAAATATTATATTTAAAAAATAAAAAATATGTTTTACAACAATAAAAATTATATTATATTCGTCCACATTTACTTTTTGCATCATTGTATTTAATATTAAAAGTATATTTATATTGTATAATTTTTGTAAATATTTTTATATTAGTATTGTAAAACTAATGAAAGTATTTTTATAATTTTTTTTAATTTGTATTACGTTTTAATATAATAATTAATATTTAAAGATTAACACGTAAAAATAAATAAAATCCTTAAAAATGCATCTAAGTAAATGAACATTTAGAGTCCAATGGACATGGTGTAAGTTTGGATAACGAAAAATAAGGAAATCATATACATTCAGTTGGGTCTCCAAATAAGAAAAGAGATTGAAAACCGAAGATCTACTTATTTCCATATTTTTAATGCTATTAATTAATATTAATTTTCTAAAATTATATATTTTTCCTTTAATTGAAATAACTCATTTTGGGGTGCCAAAAAAAATAAAAAAATTAAAAAATTAAAAAATGATCATAAGTATTTCAAAATTTTAGTTAATTAATTATTATTATTATAAAAATTAATAAATGTGGTGATAATATAATAAATAAATGTTAAATGAAAAATAATCCTTAAATGTTGAAAATTTATTTGTTGTCAAGATTTTGTGTTCTTTTTGTAAAAAAATACAATTCTAAAAATATATGAATTAGTAAAAATAATTATAATTTAATAAAAATAATTATATATTAAGATTAAAATGACTAAATAATTTAATTAAAATAAATAAAATTATGAATTAAAATGTGATTAAAATATATAATTATATATTTTTTTTAAATTACAAATTATGTAAAAAATAAAAATAATGAATAAATTAAATAAGACGAAAAGAATAATATATTATATATATTTATTATTTTTATATTATTTATACAATTTGTTATGACTCATATAAATATAAATATATATATGTAATTCAAACTATTTCACTGAACAAACAAAACTCAGCTTCTTTACCAATTACCTCCTCGTACCAGTAATCATCAAGATTATCTTCACACCTTTAAATATTCATACCACGGCCATTTGCTAACAAAACAATTTAAAGATAATTCATGCTTGAATATAAATTAAAATCAAAAGTATTTTTGAAAATTTTTAATACTATTCATCAATATTATTTTTTTTTAAAAAAATCAAAGTATTTATGTTAAATACTTTTATTATTATTATTATTTAAATTTTATTAAAACTCCGAAAGGAAGCCTATTTATTTTAAGAGTTTCTTTATAGTTGAAATGTTAGAGGCGTTTGCGTAGCCAAAACTAAAAACCAGTTCTTGATTACCTGATATGTTGAACATAACAAACCGTCATCTCCTTCCTCCATTCAATTCCTGCTCCTCTTCCAAATAATCAAGAATCTTCAAGATTTTATAGCCATGGCTACCGCCGCCGCCCTCCTCCTCCTCCTGACGCTAACCTTAACCCACCCCGCCGCCGCCGCATTGGCGCCGTCACATCCACCATCTGCAAATCCCAATCCCAATCCCCATACCTATACCAACACCAAACCCACCTTCCTATCCTCCATCCTCTCCCGCCTCGGCTTCCACGGCCTCGCCGCCGCCGCCGCCGACGCAAACCTCTCCACCGCCGTGCAAATCACCATCTTCGCCCCGACGGACTCCTCCCTCCTCACGTGCCCCACGTGCTCCCGCCCGGTCCTCCTCCAGGAGCACTCCCTCCCGGGGATCTACCCCCTCCACTTCCTGCGCACGTTAGCCTTCGGCACCAAGATCGAGTCTTTCGCCCACAACCGCTGCCTCACCGTCACCACCTCCAACGCGCCGGCGGCGGCGGCGGCGAGAAAGGTGTTCATCAATGGCATCCAGATCACCAAACCAGACCTCTTCAACAATGGCCGCCTCGTCGTCCACGCCGTCCAGGGATTCGTCTCCCACCTCTCCCCCCATTCTTGCAACATCGAGCTCATGACCTCCCTCTCCTTCTCCCCCCGGCCGCCGCCCACGGCGGCGTTCTCCGTCCGCCGCCTCATGCTAAAAGACGCCATGACGCGCCTCCGCATCAGCGGCTACAGTATAGTCGCCTTAGTCATGCGCGTCAAGTATTCCGACCTCGCCGATCTCGACTGCTTGACGCTCTTCGCCGTCGACGACGAGTCCATCTTCCTCGACGGCGCCGGCGGCCGCGCCTACCTTTCCGATATGGGCTTCCATATCGTCCCCAACAAGCTTCTCAAGTCCACCGACTTGATTGCCCTCCGCAAATTCACACTGCTGCCTACGCTCAACCCCGGCCGGAATCTGGTCATCACCACCGCCGGCGCCGGCGGCCCTGTGTCGCCCCTGAGGATCAATTATGTGAAGGTGAATCGATTCGATATAGTGCACAACAGCAGGATCATCGTCCATGGAATGTCCAGGCCTTTCCACGACATTGGACATGTACTCAAGTGAAGAACATCCATCGATCGATCTATAGTATTTTGAATCGAAAGTTTTGATCCATACTTTAACACTCTGTTCCAAAGATCTCTTGATTTTCTTCATTAGATTGATGAGTTTTTGAAGATCTATGCTGCTTTTTGTTTCTTATAATCTGCTCTTCATCAAAATCATCAAAGCTAGTCAAGCTTAAACACAATTGAAATGCAAAAATAATTGCAAGTTTGCAACCAAACCATTCCATTTTAAATCAAAAGGTGCATTAGTATACCTGAATACCGAATTTGCGCAGCACATGCTTTTCTTCATCGTTGTAGGCCTGGTTTTCGTCTGCTTTTGAACTTGAGTAGCTCTTTTATGGTATCATCATCAAACATGAATATAATCCACGTTCTGTTTCCTTGTCTTTTGCTTCCTGGACCGCTGCCTGTCTCACATGATGGAGCTCTCCTTTTTACTATCTTCCTCAGAGGTGTCTTCATTCGACTCCTTGATCAGGCTGTCTCTTTGAGAAACGGAGTTTGATCTCTTCCTTCCTCTCAGAGTATTCCTCATTGGACGTAATTTCACTACTGGAAACAGACTTTGATCTCTTACTTTTCTGGCTTCTCCTTTTCCTATGTTCCTTCCCAAAATCTGCATCACTTGATGATTTGCAAGTTGCAACAGAGTCTCCTGTTCTTATGCTTGTAGCCAGAATTTATAGCCTTTCTCGATTTAGAATCCTCAGATTCTGGCTTGGACTCACCATCTGTGGAGCTTTCTGTCCTCAATTTCTGCTTCTGTTTTTTCACAGTATCCTCCAATATCCTCTTCCAATCTCCACCTGCTTTTCCACCGACAGGAGGAATGCATTTCCGAACACAAATTTTGAGCAATTTTTCGCAGTTTCAGACGCTTTAACTAACCTGCGGTATTCTTCGTAGAGTAAACCTTTTATGTTCCAACTCTTCATCAGATTTAGGCTCGGAATATCGCCATTTTCTATTATCTCGATCAACATAATTCCCAGTTTCTTCGCGGCTAGATTATACATATGTACCTGTTGCATCCGTTGCGCGCGAGACAACCACAGCTCCACCACGGCAGGAGCCGGACTGAGGTACGGCTTCTGCTGCAACCGCCGCCTCTCCAATTAACGATGCAAACCGTCATTACCACCGCCATCGTCGGTGCCGCATCGCCGGGAAAATTTCCGGTGAAAGATAATCTACCCATTCGCATACCTGAAGGCCCCAACGAAAAAGCAACTAGATAGAAGGCTTAGAGAACGTAGGCACCTATTTATATGGTTTAATCCTCCAGCAACTTTTTAAATCCTTTTGCATCTTATTTTGTTAAGTAATATCGTTACTGGGCTATCAATTGGGCCCACGGCCCATATATACGGCCCATTAAGGCCCATAGCTATGAGTCCGTCCAGACAAAAACCCTAGCGTTAAAAGCCTCGTCTTCTTCGAAATCTGTAGACGCCGCGCGAGCAGAGAGCATCGCTGACATTCGGTTCAGAGGACTTGCAGCGTGAAGCAGCGGCGAGCGGCGTGAATCTGCTAAAAGTACGTGTTCTTACTCGTTTTGCTGCTAATTTTGTATCTACTGTAATGGAGGAACATGAATTGCGAATGCGACTGCGACTGCTTTGAGTTGAGATTTAATTGATTAGGCGGTTCTGTTTTCTTGTTTTCACAGGAAAAATGGCGGATAAGGCAGTGACAATCAGAACAAGGAAGTTCATGACAAATCGACTCCTCTCGAGGAAACAATTTGTACGCTTTCTAGTACTTGATACTTGTTTTTGTAGCGATATGCTTAAAGTGCAAATCCGTTTTGGCGAGTTGCAACCTTATTGTGATCGGATTGCGTTTGTAGGTCATTGATGTGCTGCATCCTGGAAGAGCTAATGTTTCTAAGGTTTGCCCTTCTACATTACCCTATTTGGTGTCTTTTGTTCTTTCATACTCAGATTTTGGTGAATATCGCCATAAATAAGAACACTTGAACGGATATGAAATAGCTGTTAGATTTATTCCAAGGATTGATCAAGTTCGATAATGATTTAAGCTTTTCAAGTGAACACTTTATTTGAAATGAATTGACATGGTTTTGTGGATCTGTTTATTGCAACTTACAAGTGGTTTGCAGCAGAATTTAACTTGTTGAGAAGTAATTTGTAGAAGCTAAGTCTTCCCCCGTTTTTTCTGCTACATGAAGGCCGAGTTGAAGGAGAAATTGGGAAGGATGTATGAGGTCAAGGATCCAAATTCCATATTTGTGTTCAAGTTTCGAACCCACTTTGGAGGAGGCAAATCTACTGGGTTTGGCTTGATATACGACTCTGTTGAAAGTGCAAAGAAATTTGAGCCCAAATACAGGCTTATCAGGGTAAATTGTTTTATTCATTCTGTTTTTTTCATGTGTTACGATCGGTGAAAGCTCATTTTTATTTCGTTTTACTATGGTAATCATATTTCTATTTCATATGTGTTACGATCGTTGAAAGCTCATTTTTATTTCGTTTTACTTCTTTAATATGCTTTTCCATGAGGATTGATTGAGGTTATGCATTCGTTTCACAATTATTTTGTTCATTGAACACTATGCCGTGGGAACACCTAATACATTTTCATCTCATTTGTTTTTACTTAGCAGTATGATTTCTTCAAAGTATTTTCCAGTGTTGTCCAATGAATTTTTCATTGTATTTTGAAATAATCATCCATTGTATGAAATGTCAGTTTCATTCAAATACACGCCAGAACATTTATCATATTCTCTTTACATGTCTGATGATGGATCTTGGGTTCTGGCAAACAGAATGGTCTAGCTACCAAGGTTGAAAAGTCGAGGAAACAGATGAAAGAAAGGAAGAATAGGGCAAAGAAAATCCGCGGTGTCAAGAAGGTATGATGTCTTTTCTTTGATACGAATTTTGGATCCTAATTGGAATCTCCTCGTAATCACTAACACAATGCAATGATATCAAATAACATAATGATATTTGATCATTTGTTGAAGTTCTGGTTTAACTTTTGAATGTATACAATTAAAAGTGCCCTTTTTTAATCGAGCCCTAATCATTGTTTCTTCAAAATTTTGCAGACAAAGGCTGGAGATGCTGCCAAGGGAGGCAAGAAGAAATGAGCCTATCTGGTTATGCTGTGTTTGTTTTATGAACTTACCTTGGATTTTGCTTACGGGTCGCGACTTTTCAATGCTTTAGGTTAAATTTTTGCTTCAGGACAATGTTGAAAGTGGAACAATTTTGTCATGAAATCGTTTCTTGTTTTTATATTTATGGTTTCCCAATTATGGAGTAAATTTTTCATCAAGTTTTATTATTAAGGAAAATCTTTAGCCCTATACTGTTTAGTAATCTTTAGTCAAGTTTTAATTTACAGTAACTTTTTTCCCAAAAAATTGTTGAAAACTGTATCATATAACTTCTAAAAAATTTTAATTATTTAGAGAGATTTTTTTTTTTTTATATACTTATGCATATGAATTTTACTAGTATATAAAGCATTTTGAGCTATATGTACTGAAAAATTAGTTCCTCTGGCCATTATAAAGGAAGTAAGCATAATTTTGATGGATATAGGGAATGTGTTTAGCCTTAACATGATTAATTATATAGATTTTAGTTTCTATTAAGTTATATTAATTTGTGTTTATTCGAATTTTGATTTTGCTAATTAATTCGTAGTTTTGTTTATGATTTAAAAAAATCTGGATTGTACAAATTCACAACACAAACCATGTAACAAGAATGATTTAAAACATATCTCGATTTGATTCCTGTGTGTTGTTTCTTGTTTTTAACTTGTAAAAATTCATGGTAACGAAATCGATTACTGCTGTAAATAAAATCATATTGTTACTAAATCCTGTGTTTTTCTTGTTTTTATTATTCCATGCTCGGCCAAATTTATTTTGTTTTTTCAGTAACAAAATATTTATTTTTTCTATTTTTTTTATCCAAACAAGTAAAAATTTATATTTTTATCTATTTTTTTAAAAAATTTTGTGCCCGATCAAGTTACCCATTATATGTTTCAATCAAGTTATTTCAAACACGCTCATTTTTAATATTTTGGTCTTTTACGTGCAAAGAAATTACTAGCTCTGTATTTCTGTGTATCTCAATAAACAGACTCATGCAAACAAATTTGACCTAAACTGGGGTCTGTTTACCTGTGGAGTTTTTAATCTAATTTTACTATTTCAATTTTTTTTTAACTTAAAAATATTAAATCAAATATTTATTATTTATTTATTATATTATATTAAAATTTTATTTTACATTCAAAATATTATATCAAATCATATTTATATCACATCAAATAAGTATTTCAATTCAAAATTTTACAAACACACTACTTTGAACAAGATTCTATCAAGTACATGAATGAAATTATCAAATGTAGAGAATAGTACCTGGCCGTATATATAAATAAGCTGTTGTAAGAACATTATCTTTCTCCGTAACAAAATATTTATTTTTTTATTTTTGTCTCAGTTTTATAACAAAAGTAAATCTTTGTTCACTTAAGTAATCGTTTTATTTACTTAACATTACAAATACTCTTTCAATATTATATAAATATTATTACATTTATATTATTTTTACTTTATTTTTACTATATATTAATATATAATACTATCATATATACACAGCGGATGTACGTGGGGCAAGGAGGGCTCCAAAAAGATGAGTAATAACAAAATCAAATTAGCTAGCAAAAATTGAAACAAAGTTGATCACAAGCACATGCAAAGAGTCACAGAATCTTCAACAGTGTGTATGACTCAATTTTAGTACAAAGAGTGGTTAAAAAAACAAGTCCAGGATTCCCTGATTTTGTCTGCTCTTTCTCCCCCTACATGATGTTTTCAATTATTATTATTATTATTATTATTATCATCAATTTACTACAATCTATTCATAGGCTTGCTTACATCTTAATCCAAGTGTTTGTCTTTACTTGAAGATTCTTCCACTCCCACCAATCAAGAACGTACACACATAAATGACACCTTGCTTTTTCAGTAATAATCTATACCCAATAGCCCACTAAAATATCCTACACCATATTTGGTTTGTCTTCTTCTAATCAGCCAAAAAAGATTATCTATCTCAAACTAAGGTGGCCCCATAAATGGCTACCTTCAACCTCATCCTGATTGTAAGAAAATGTCAAGAAAAAGTATGTTCATATGGGGATAGGGTAAATGGTTATCAGTCCCACCTATTTTGTTTTCATTGAAAGGACACTGAAATGCTTTTCAGTAATGATTTTTTACATCAAATTGTGCTGTCAACATGTTTTCATTTTATTGTTTTCAAGATCAACCAAGAAGCAATACCAATACCTGATTTCTAGCAAATGCACAGAAAAAGAAAGGAGATTTTAGAGGATATCTAAATATATTTATATTTAATCAAATAATTGTTTCTATTCAAAATTTGAAATTCAAACTCCCAAAAAAACAAACTCATAGAAAACAAAAAGGGATCCCAAAACATGAGAAAATCCAGAGCTTCCATGGAAGCCCAACACCATTGATGGTGTTGGGAGCCCCAACAAGTTTCTTGAATGGAAGCTTTCAGCTATTTAAGAGACTTTAATCAGATAATCATACCAATGCATGCAAATGAATCTTTAGCATTCAATTCAGAATCTTACTCTTTAAATGCTTGTTAGCAGATATGCAGAATTAATAATGATTTGCAGTTCATCACTGAATGTGTATATATATATATGTGTGTGTGTGTGTGTGTGTAGGCCATAGTTTTACTGTTTTTTTTTTTTCATGTCAGGGATTCCTTTGAATGCAGTTGCCAGATCAGAGATGGATGAAAAACAAGAAAAACAGTCTGATTGCTTTTCATGGATGCCAGAATGATTTTGCAGGGGAAAAGGTAATTTCAAAGACACATTTATCTTCTGAAATGTCTATGGAGTTTATAGTAAGCAAAATAAAGCATGGAGCATAAATCAGGTAAAATTCATCTTCAGTACGGATAGCATTTGGTTCCCCACACATTTTGCCCTAATTTTAGCAAAAATTACTGGAAATCATCGATGAGGACGACGGAAAGCAGTAATAGTACTTAGATTGCGTTTATTTACCGGATTACCGCGAAATCTTCCGTTCGCCGTCGCGGATTGGTGTTTTCCGGTGAGATGCGGTCATGAGACTGACGAGGAGGTCGGCGAAAGCTCCGATGATGAATTTGTGCGCGCTCTTAGGGTTTATCGACAAATAGCACATTAGCAACTGATGCAGATCGTCCCAATCCTCACGCACGTCGTGGATCCGCCGCGCCTCCACCATTTCCTCCATGGATCGGCGGAAGTCGAGGTATGGATCGGGAGAGTAGGTAGGGACGGCGACGCTGCCGCTAGAGACGACGGCGGCGTCGTTTTCGGCGTGGTGGTTGAGCGAGCTGGTGGAGGTTGAGGCGGAGGAGGAATCGATTATAGAGTTGGATCGGCCGGGGGAGGCGAAGAAGAAACGCCGGGAAGCGAAGGCGGTGGCCAAGTCCGGCGCGGCGGAGGCGGAGGCGGAGGCGGTTTCGTCGTCGTCGGAATCGTAGACGTTGTGGTTGGTGGTGGTCTGGTAGAGGCAGTTGAAGTTGTTGACGTGGGTGGAGAATGGACGGCTGAGATTTGCCTGAGACGACGGCGGAGATTTGATCTTGGTGAAGCAGAAACTCAGGTTTCTAGCCATGGCATGGAATGAATTCTGTGAGCTGAGCTGAATCTTCCCTGTCTGTCTTTGAATTTATTTATATGAAAAAATAAATAAATAAAAGAAATAGGGTTGGTATTTATTCAATTATTTTATTTTGCTATATTTAATTTTTAAATGTTCTTTTTTTTATTTTTTATTGTGTTAAAATAAGTACTTCCTTAATATGTGAGTATTATGCATACACCAAAATTTAGGTAAAATATAATTAAAAATATATATTAATAAAAATAATTATTATATATTAAAAATAATTATAGAGTGATAACTAAATAATTTAACTAGGATTTAAAAATTTTAAAATATAATTAAATTATATAATTATATTTTAAAAGACAATAGAAAACTTTCAAAAATAAAAATATATTGTTATTTTTCATATATATTTAAAAAATAATGAATAAAATACAGTAGTACATTTTAGTAACTCTTTTAAAATTTTAAATAATTAGCAATAAAAATCTAAAGTTTATTTTATTGTGATTTAAATAGGATGTTAACTCCAATTTTTGCTTCATAATATTTTAATTTTATATTTTATAAATTAAATAATATATTTTTATCAATAATTATGTGTAAATTGAATAATAATAATATTTTTATTTGAAAATTAAAAAAAATGCACCCTCGAAATTTTATAAGCATTAAAAAAAGAATACAACGATATACTCCCTCCGTCCCGAAACTAAATATCCATTTGATTTTTGCAAATAATTTTAGAAATATTAGTATTATATTGGGATATAGTAAAAATAAAATAGAAATAACTAAAATAATCTTATTAGTAGTATATGTTATATAAAGGCAATGACATTTGTATAATATATTGTAAATTGTAAGGGTATTTGTAATATTAGGTAGATAATACAATTACTTATTAAAAAAAATAAGGGACTAACTAAAATGAAAAAATGGATACTGAAAAGTATAAATTTTGATTTAAAAAGTAATTTAATTATATTCAATTTGAGTACAGCACAGAAAAAAAATATATATTAATTGGGCATTAAAATTAGACCCAAAATATTTGGGCCGACCCGGTCCGATACTCTTGAAAATCTGGATCGTGCAAACCTGTGCAAATCATTTACATTATCTATTAAATAAATTTTAAATTTAAATATTTTTAAAATATATTACTTCATCCGTCCCACCTAAAAGTTTCATATTCTCATTCTGGTTAGTCCCATATAATTAATTTTTTTTTTAAAAAAAATATTATATATTTTAATTATATTTAAAATTTTATAATTTATAATTTTCGTAATCATAATTAAAATACTTAATTATTTTAATTTTAATCTATAATTATTTATATTACATTATAATTATTTTTTCTAATACACTTTTTAATTACTTATCAATTATAATCTACCTAAATGTATAAACTGGAGACTATTATATAGTGACGAAAAGAAGTATAAATATATAATAAAAATTAAAAGTAAAATATATATTTAATGTTTAAAGTTTTAATAAAAAAATAAAAAATTATTTTTTTATCATAATTGTATTTATTTAAATTAATACTATAATTATTTATTAATAAAAATTATCCAAAATATATCTAAAATAAAAATATTTAAAAATTGTGATTACTCTATTCAGCTTGAAACCGGTCCCGGACTTTGATATACAAGCCCGGGTTAAAGCTGGGCCGAGCCTACCAATACAAATTGAATACGGGTTATGTCAAACTAACCCAAAATTATTCTCTAATTTAAATTGAATATTTGTAACAACAACAATAATAATAATAATAATAATAAGAATAATAATAATAATAATAATAATAAAACCCCGTTTGCATAATTTATATGTATATATATGTGATTTTTAAAAAAATTATAAATTTGACGATTTAAAAAAAAATAATAATCTATATTGTCACACTTTCAAACGGTTTTTTAGAATTTTGTAATAAATTAAAATAGAAAAAAGATAATTTTAAGTTGGACAAACAAAAATGGCTTATAATATTACTATAATACTATTTGTATAAAAAATTGTACAAATATAACGATATTCTTAATATTAAGTATAATTACTTAAAAAATAAATGTAACCTTTAGTGGCAAACGGATGAAATATATATTTTCTACAAAAATATAATTTTTTTTCATAAAAAATTTAGCGTTTAATTCTAAATATTATTTTTTATGTTATAAATACAATTATTTAAATTTCACCCAAAAAAAAATGCAAATTACTTATAATTTAAAAGTTGTTTTGAAAATTGCTCCCATATGATTTAAAAATTGCACAAGACTTGCTCACACTTTAAAAATATGACATAAAGTTTTTTAAAAATTACACAAGTCTTCTTTGTATTCTTTTAAAATATTATATGAAATCTCTACAAAAATAATATTCTCTCCGTCCACTTAGAAGATTGACATTTACTTTTGGTGGAATATTTAAGAAATAATAGTATTTTAATTATAGTGAGTAGTTAAAAGTACTGTAATGACATTTTTGCTATTATTTTTTTTTTGTGTAAAAGTAATGATGTAATGTAAAGTAAGTGTATTTGTGGAAAAAAGTAGGGTATTTAATAAAATATTAACTTTGTAATTGGACGTCCCAAAATAGAAATATATACACATTATAAGTGGACGGAGAAAATAAAATTTATGCAATATTTCGAAAACACAAAATAGTCCGTACTATTTTTACATAATAAACAAAAAAAATGCAGAAATTTGAAATCACAAATAGATGATAAATAATTTTATCAACAGCAGAAAAGAAGATCAAACTAGGTTTATTTATTTAGTAAAAATAGTTTGAAAAAATATATTTTTATATAAAATATAAAAAGATATATAAATGTGACGTAATATATATATTTAAAATATATATATATTATTAAAAAACACACCCGGAAATACTAAACAAACATACCTAATACATGTGGGACCCATGGAGTATATTAAATAAAATAGGTAGCCCACAAATCGTGCTTTACAGTTCAAAAGAAAAATCGTTTATAATGTCACCCTTTATTAAAGTCGCAAACATTTTCCCAATTCGTGAAAATTCAATTATTGTGCATTTGGACCAAATCAATAATTCCATCCGACAAGAGAAATATTTTTTTTATTTAATAATAGCAACAACAGCAATAATAATAATAATAATAATAATAATAATAATAATTATTTTTGGTCTCAATATAATTAAAATTCATAAATTTTTGTTTCAATATAAAAATTTTATCGATTTTGACCCAAATATAACCAAAATTCATCATATTTTAGCCCAATATAATTTTTTTTATATCAATTTTAGTCCAAATATAATTAAAATTCATCATTTTTTATCACAATATAATCGAACTTTATCTTTTTTTTGTCCCAATATAATCAAACATTATTTTTTTGGTCTCATACCGTCAACAAACCGACGAAAAATATTGACGTAAAAAGAAATCAAACCTTATATTTATATTTGAAGAAATTGGACAAGCTTGCAGCATTTTTCGTCGGCTTGTTGACGGTGGAAAAAAAAAAAAGTTTGATTATTTTATGACAAAAAATGATGAGTTTTGATTATATTGAGCCTAAAATTGATAAAAATTTATATTGGGACAAAAATGATAAGTTTTGGTTATATTGAGACCAAAATTGATAAAATTTTTATATTTGAACTAAAATTGATGAATTTTGGTTATATCGAGACCAAAAATAATTTTTTCCCTAATAATAATAAAAAAAAATAATCATTCCGTTCAATTTTTATTGTCCTAAAATATATTTACACATTTTTTAAAGTGATTGTCTTTTTGTTATGATTTGACAAATTTGCCCTTAATTGTATGGTAAATATTAAAAGTAATAAATGAATGAAAGGGTAAAAATATAAAATTTATATTTTAAAAAGAAAATATAATAATAGTTATTGGACTTTCCGAACCGAAAAGTAGGACATTAGTTTAGCGAAGGAACGTTGGAGTAAAAATTGTAAGGAACAGCTTTAATATTAAAGAGGGTCAGTACATTTATTTAAGGCATTATTTGGCTTAACTTTCGGCACAGTTCATCAAAACATTTGGCCAATAAATTCTCATATGCATATAATGGTTGTGTTTGCTTGTAGATATTTCGTCCGAATTTTTACTATTTATAAATATTTTAAAATATCAAATTAAATATTTATTTTTTAATATTATATTAAATTTAATTTTATATTCTAATATATCATATAAATAATCGTTCCAATTAAAAGTTAAATCACTAAAAAATTAAGTCCTATTTCAAGACCTGCAATCAAACACACCCTATACTATTGTGGTTCTCTTTAAATATGATTTTTCGAAGCTTTCCACTTTTGAAAATTTTGGAATTACAAATTTTTTATTTATAGTTTTGAATCTGATTTTACTATTTATATAGGCATTTTTTCCTAATTTAAATTATCATTTTTATTATTTTTTTGTCTGATTTAAAAATATTTATTTTTTATGTTACTAAAAATAATTATATATTTAATACAAAAATATATTTAATGTTTATTTAAGTTACAAACAAAGCATAGATATAATTACTTTATAGAGTAAAATGACAATAACAAAAATATCAAAATTTCTTATAGAACTTCATAAATAAAAAATAATAAAATAAAATAAAATATCATTACTTCAAAATATATTTTAAAAAATAAATATATACTTTGAATTATAAAGAATAGAGTATATTTTATCGGTAAGGATCTATTGATTTATGATTTTAGCATCTATGCAAATCAGTTTAAAAGTCAATTATATTAATTATATTATTAAAATAATACTCCCTCCGTCCTAAACAAGGTTCAACATTTATTTTTGGCATGAATTTTTAGGTGTGCAGTATTAGGTATGATAATTTAGAAATTATGTGAGGTGATGGAGAGAAAAATATATATTTTATTTTTTTATTTGGATGATACGAGAGGATAAAGTGTGAGATAGAAATTAAGTATAATTAATTATTTTCTATTTTGGAAATGTTGCAGGGTGTTTGGGACATACCAAAAAGAAAATGTTGCACGATGTTTGGGACGGAAGAAGTACTTTTCGCTCCCTTAACTATCATTTTTCCACTTTGATTCGTCTAATAAAAAACTATTATTATTATTATTTTAATAACGGTACTATTTATCTAATATTATAAATATATTCTCAATTTATAATATATTACATGAATATTATTATATATATATCATACAATATTAATAAAGTTAGTTTAGTATTTTTACTTTTATTTCCACTAAATTCCAATATAATACTAATATTTCTAAAACTCATTGAAAAAAACAAAAGGATAGAAATATATGAGATGAAAGAAATATTCCCTCCGTCCCATAACTAGATATCCATTTGTTTTTTGCACGTTGTTTTAGAAATACTAGTATTATATTGGAATGTAGTAGGAATAAAGTAAAAATGACTAAAATAATATTATTAGTATGTGTGATATAAAGGTAATGACATTTGTGTAATATATGGTAAGTTGTAAAGATATTTGTAATGTTAGGTAGATAATACAGTCACTAAAAAAGGAAAATAGATACTTTGTTATGAGACATGCTAAAATAAAAAAATAGATACTTTGTTATGGAACGGAGAGAGTATACAATTTTATGATTATGCACACCTAATATAAAAAATATTTCAATCCAAGAACAAAGTGAGGACACCCTCCAAACTCTTATAAATTAAGTGGTGTGACATCTCATTTGAAGGTCACGATCAAGATTCCATTATAATAGATGTGTACTTTCAAGATTATGTCAAATTTCTCATAGTTTCATAAATTTCGCGTCTAACCACCTCGATTGTCATTTTTTTAACGGTGTTTGATCTGCACGTTTTCAAATTACGATTGAATTTCATAATCTTAATTTATAGACCTTTTGAAATTACAAATATATTGTTCTTCTTATTTAGTCTCATGGACAATAAATATACTTAGAAATCGTTGCTTTCCTCTCATTCTAAGAATTTTTAGTGTCTTTGAGGCTAAATATAAAAAGAATGAATATATTCATAATTTCAAACGTTTAGAAATAGAGATTTTGAAATTCATTTGCAGTTTGGACGTGTGCAGATCCAACAACGTTAAATAAAGATGGTCGAGAATGTTAGACGCAGAGTTTATAAAACTACGAGAAAGTTTGATACAATTAAATTTAACACAATTTTGCGAAACTAATTATATATTTTTGTAACAATTTAAAAAAAATAAAATCGTGAAAACACAATAATGAAGAAGAAACTACTTATCCTTCGTACCTGATCAATCCTAATCCCTCTCCTTCCTCTTTTAATTTCTTTAATTATTTAGATATTAAAATAATATTTAATTAGGAAAAAAAAAAAAACGTAAGAATGTAAGTAAATATTGAAAAATTTGATTAAAGAACTATATCATATTTTCTCTGCACTTCTGTCTTGACTCTACGCTTTTTCCAAGAACAATCGGGTCGACAGGTCGATCGACTGGACGGGTCTTTATCGGGTCGGATTTGAGAAATCCGGACCCCATAATAGTGGAGTATGTCGGATCTTGCAGTCCCCGACTTACTACACCCACCCATCGAGGGGCCGTTTGGTAATTTCGTTCACTGAAGACCACTGGCCCTCGCCGTGCCTGTCGCCCAGATTTAAATACAACTGTGAGTCATTTCAGATCCGTGCAGCGTTCATTTCGTTCGAAGGAGAAAAAACTTGAGCTCACGTTAACTGTAGATTTGATCTGAATCGGCGTTCGATTTTCCGAGGCGTGTTGGAAGAATCGAGAGCTGATTAATGCATCTAGGCGTAGAGCTTGTGTAGATGCAAATCTAAAGTTGTTATAATATATATAATTTGGAAGAGAAGATAAACTCGGGCGTAAAATCGGATTTCAGTCTCAGGATCAGGTTACTAGTTTCTTTTGTTTGTTGAATCCGTTTTTGCTCGATTGTGTGTGGTTTTGACTGTTTTATTTATTTATGTTTCTGTAGATCTAGTTTTCGATTGATTTTGGTGATGTTTGTTTGTTTGTTTTTTTAATTAATGTTAGTTTGTGTTGAATGCGTGTAGATCTGAAGAAACTGAAGGGTGACGGTGTGTTTGTTGTGCCTAAGTGCGGATTCGTTTATGGTCGATTTTCCGTGGGGTTAACTGAACTAGATAGCTATCTTTTCAGTTTTTGGTGGTTGTGGAGGAGATCTAGAGGTTTGAATGTTTAAGATCCGTAGGTTTGAGAGTTTTCTTATATGGTGAATCGGTGTTTGGTTTGTTTCTACTGTAACTTAGATTAGTGTATAGAGGAGAGGTGGGAAAGGACTTAGTTGGATTTATCCTGTAAAGCTTGGGATGGAGACTCTAGTTGCTGTGAATCACCATCGGAATCAGCATCAGTATTATGGTAGAAACCGAAACCATGGTGCGTCCAAATTTGGATCGTTTGGCTCACCATCAGCAAGCTTTCGGGCAATTAATTGCAGGACATTTCAATCTGGAGAAGGATTGCTCCCAACGCCATTCTATGATCTGTCCAGCAAAGTTCCCGCTTCTGATAAACCCTTTTCAGCCTCTCTCTCTCCCAAAACCCCGACCCCTTCAAATGATTATCCTGAGAAACCCTCAGCAAAGAGAATTGTGAAAAGCCGATCGGTTCCAGTACCGATCAAGTGCAAGCTCAAAAGCAAGCAAAGGGACTTGTATTTTTCAGAGCTTTGGGCTGGACCTGCGTACTCAAACTCACCTCCCCCTAGTTCTTTGCCCATTCCTAAATTTTCAGTCCGTCCTACAAGAAGTGCTTCACTTGACTTGCCTAATATAGCATCTGAGTTTGATCTGCATCCTATTGCAAGATCAGCACCTGCATCCCCCAGAAGGGAGCGTAGTCCTTCTCCTATTGATCTGTTTGGTGCTGATGTTGATGTGGCTACTCCAATTGATCTGTTTGGTGTTGATGTTGATGTGGCTAATCCAATTGATCTGTTTGATGGTATTAATGATGCGACTAAGACACTTCGTCGCATCCTTAATCTTGATATCTCTGATGACTGAGGGAGGTGTTGGTAGTGGTTGGTTCCTGTATATAGGAAATTAGAGTGTTCTCTTGGGTTTAGTAGTGGACTGTATATATAATAAAGATCAGGTGTTGGGATGGTTATAGAGCTTGCTTGGCATAAAGTAGTGGTGGGGAGGTGGTACGATAGGGTTTGTTTGTAGATTGTGCCCAAAAGATCTGGAACTTGAGTTTCTTGTTCAGTTGGGAATGTAATCAATGTGGTTCAGAGTGCTCGGAGTTGGGTTCTGCCGTGAATGGGAGGGTAGGTCAATCAATTGGCATGGCAGGGGACAGTTATGGATAGAATTGTGCCTTGTTTCCAAGTTGACAAAAAATGCTAGGTTGGGTGTCGGTTAGTTCTCCAAAGTGCATTTACTTCTCAAGATTTAACATCGTTTATTTCCCTTTTCCTTCTCTGTTGTTTTTCCTTCACAACTTGTATATGTTGTAGAATCCTAACTTAGGTATCAGTAGGACTTCATCTTTCCTTGTTTTCCAATATAGTATCATAGCTTGTTAGTTTCGATTAGCTCTCTTGACCCTGTAGCCCAATACATCTGTAGGGGTTCAATGAGTCTTTTCTTTTCCTCTTTCCTGCTCAGTTCTGCCTGAATTGGCTCTTCACTCGTCGTAGGTTTAGCCTCCTAATTGCTGTGTTTTTCTTTTGAATTAGTAATGCTTCTTAGTCCGGTTCTTCCCTTTGCCATATTTCCTGGTTTTTGATAAAGGAAAATGGTGGGGAATTAGAGATAGACGATCCTGTTTCTTTTGGTTAGTTTCACTCTACTGGGTTTCGACCTACAACCTCTATGTGTTCTCTTAACTGGAGGTGCCTAGTTGAAGTATAAATTGAGCTTTAGCGTCACAGCTCAATCGATTCCAAAGTCTCTACAGTAAGCTTATACTGCCTACCCATTTAAAAAGAGTTGATTGCACCTCCCACTTCTTGTTATTCGGTTCCATTTGACGTTGGTTATATTGACGACGACCTTATCCAAGTGTTCCAGGTATTCTGCATTGGATCTCAACTCTATTCTTACATATCCGTAAATTTTGGTCGTAACTTGTGTTATATATTTCTTGTTTTGCCAGTTCTTGTATGGATGGGTACCTGATGGCAAATCCGTTCGAGAGACTGTCAGCACCCCCATTCCATATGTGATGTGCCTTAGTTTGCTTTTGCAATCTCGACTCTTACGATTCTAAAACTAGAAGCTATATGATGATTCTAGGGTTCGATGTTGCTATGTGTGTTTAAGACTTTTGGCTTGATTCTGTCTATATGTGGCGCATGAACACATGTTTTTTTTTTTTTCTTTATCACATTTTAGCAATGTTACAGCTCACATATAAGTAGCTGCTTTCTGTTTGATAATTCTGCTGTTTCTCGGTAGTTAATTATGCACAGTGGATGATCTGCTACTTTGATTATTTTATTTATTTAGTTATTTAACAAAGAATGGCATGATATATATATCATAAGATAGCATTCTCAGGAAGTGCAAATAATTTTCAGATAATTACACTGATTTTAGAAACAATCACATAAGCTATTGTTCATTTTTAGCTGGATATTGTTTATATGATCAGCAAATCATAATTGAGCACTTCTTGTATCATTACATACATAGGCACAACTTTGTCATTATTCTCTAACTAGGCTTATTACTACAGACATTTTGTCCCACAACCCATATTACATTGGATAATACAAGAAGGGAAGAAGAACTATAGGAAAACTTTTATGATGATTATTATTTGACACAGTAGTAGAAAAACCTGAGAAAGAATTGAGAGTGGGGTTGTTCTAAAAGGCATCATCATCATCATCATCATCAAGAAGATTCTCCATTCTTTCAAGAAACATTTCTTGGCACCTGCATTCATTGCTGCAAAATGCCTTCTCCCCCCTGAAAAAAACACAATAACAACAATCCCTAAAATTCCCCCACAAAAGGTAGAAAACCCTATATCCTAAGATTCAAGGATGAGTTTTTTTTTTTTTTTGTGATCAATATTATTTATTTTATACTGTTTTCAATAAAATTACATTATTCCCTTACATCAAAATACTATTGAAACAAATATTTAAATTAATGTCTCATTTTAAATCAATTTTAAATTACAATCGAAGTTACTTTTAATATCTCTATGTAAAGCAAAATTGAACAAAATTTACTTGTGATTGCACAAAATTGTGTAAAATTTCACTTTTAAAATTGCATCAAATTTTATAAACTCTGTATTTAATCTTTTTCCGATCAGTCTTTATTTGATGGTGTTTGACTTACACGTCTACACTGTGTTCAAAATTTTTATTTTTAAACTCTTTAAATTAAAAATATATTTTTATTCTTTTTAAGGAACTTACTGTTCTTGATGCCAAAATATAAGGATGGATATATTTATAATTTGAAGGGTTTAAAAATAAAAAATTTAAAACTGTTGCGTACAGGTCAAACATCATTAGATGAAGACTGCCGAAGAATTATAAGCAAAGTTTATAAAATCATGAGAAAGTGACGCAGTTTTAAAAGTACAAAAAATTTGACATAATTTTTGTAAAACTACTGTTAGTTTTATGCAATTTTGCCGACTATATACAAACAACCCGTCATCTATATTCAACAATATATAGAGAGGGCAAGAGACAATAATATTCATTCAACATTATTTAATAAAATATTTATACATATAGATATAAATAATACATCGTTAATATTTAACCAATATATTCAATTAATAATTTATGCAAATAAGGACAATAGATTTGTAATATTAGACCAACAGTACATGATTAACATGCACTCAACACAATTTAGTAAAATAATTTTAAAATATTTAGAAAGACTTAATACATATTAATACAAACAATACATAGTTAATATTCAATATTTTGGTAAAACGATTTAGGATACTTGAACAAAAATATGTACATAAATATAAACAATAGGTAGTTCATATTCAATTTTTAATTTATGCAAATACAAACAACAAATTTGTAATAGTTGATCAAATCAAAAATCATAAAAACTCAAATATAAATTGCTAAATTATCTTCTAAACAAGTGAGTTTTTTATTTTTATTTTTTGAGACAACTTCACTCTACACAATTCACGATTAAAATACATTATTTATTCTTATAAAATATCACATCAAAAATATTATTTAAAACTAAAATTCAAATAAAAAACACCCAAATTAGAACTACACTCCAAACTACAATAATACACCCCTAAATTAATATCATTAAATTCAATGAGATAAAATGCATTCAATTATTGCAGGTGAACACACACACTTGAATTTCTGTACAAACATATAACTTTTTCACTCAAGAACAAAACATGCATATCAAGTCATGGGGAAGAATCTTTCATTGAATTGAAACAAAAAAAAATAAATAAAAATTTAAATAGTAGAAGAAACTAACCTGTACATGTAAATATCCTTGTCCTGTCCAAGAACAGCTCTGCAAGTATGGCAAAAGCTGAGAAAACCTGGTGATGGAGGAGAGACTACTGAAACACCATTAAAACCACTCTCTTCTTCAACCATGGTGGTGGTGCTGTCATCCCCACAGCAGCACTCCACAATACAATCATCAAATATGTGAGTGGTTTTAGGGTTAGGCCCATGTGTAGTGACACAAGTATAGTCCTCAGAAAGCTCCATTTCTTTCAAAGAAAGCTGCCTGGTTGCAGGGCTCAAGAACTGAGACTTGGTCTTCATCCCAAAGTCACCATGGTTGGAGGAGGAAGATGATGTAATTTCTGGGATCTGAATCTTGAGCTTTGATCCAAACAAGATTGTTCTGTTTACCAAATTCCCATCACTTACTCCATTTTTATTCCATTTTCTTTTCTTTTCGTCATCTGATATGATGGAATCAATCAGGGCAAGACCTATTGCTGCTGCTGCCTTGGTTTCTTGGGGGGATGTGGGTAGGGGGGGTGGTTTGGGCATGCCTCCCCTGTCATACCCAAATGGGTTCACAAAGCTTGATGAGTTCTTTAAGTCTAGAATGGAGGTTGGGCTCATGGCAATGGCATTGGGTTCTGTGTCTGGCTGCAGGTTCTTGGTCAAGAACCCATTGAAGAATCTTGGAGAACTCAAGATAGATGAGATTGGGGAAGAACAAGATGATGATGATGAAGAAGATGGATTTGGAATTTTTGGGGTGTTATGATCAGACATCATGCCTTGTTTGCTACTCACTGCTCTAGATCTGTTCCTCAGCATCACTTACTCACTCACTACCCAAAAAAAAAAAAAAAACAATAAATCTTGGCAAGAAAAGGCTAATCTTGAAATAGTGGCTATATTATGGTGCTATGTTAAGTTAACTCCATCGAAAAACAAACAAGAAAAGAAAAGGGGCAAGATTCACACATTTTCTTGACCCTCAAAAGAAGAAACAAATTGAAAGTTGGGATTTCTTTCAAAACCCTAAAATCGAAAATCCCAGATAAACAAAATCAGTGGAATTGTTCTTATGTATAAGCCAAGAAAGCCTTGCTAAATCTCATTAGCCTCCATACTTACAAGAACATAAAGAAAAAAACCCTAATTTTATGTTCTTGTCTCTTTAATCCCTATCAGAACCCTCCTCTCAAGTCATAGGTATATGCAATATGTTCAGATCAAGATTTGGAAATGGAGCGAGAGAAGGACAAGCTGAAAAGGGGAGAAAGTGGGACTAGTTATGATTCTCTCTTTAGAGTGAGAGATATAAAAGACGAGATGATGAATTATTGTTGATTGGAAGAAATCACATATATACATATATTTGAGAATAATATGGTCCACCATTTTTAAATTCCAAACTTGTCAAATATTTGGGAATTTTATACTCTTTCATTTCCATAACAAAGTATCCATTTTTTTCATTTTAGTTCGTCCCATAACAAAATATTTATTTCCTTTTTAGTAACGTTACTATCTACTTAACATTACAAATATCCTTACAACTTACAATATATTCCACAAATATCATTACCTTCATATCCCAATATAATACTAATATTTTTAAAACTACGTACAAAAAGCAAATAAATATTTACTTTTGGGACGAAAGGAGTATTAAAATCTAATAAAAATTGGTAAGTTATATATGCATATTATAGAAGATTACAACCTTACAATTTTTAGGTTTCAAAATAGTTTCTTCAAATCAAAATACTAAACAAACAAAATTTTGTATTTATTTGAAAATTTTAGAATTAATTTTTTTTTAATGAAAAAATTATTTTACTTAATATTAATATCATTATATTGTATTATAAGGTGCTAATAGTTTTTTTTTTTTTTTTTTTTTTTTTCTATCACGTAAATAACAGCATAATATTTGTAAACAGACCAAAAGTATAGAAGAAATGGACGATGGAAGGAATAATAACACACTCTAGAATTTAACAAGTGATTACGCTATGGTGTGTTTGTTTGGGGTTTAGATTTTGAATTGAGATTTGAATAGTAAAAATTTTGAATTTAAATAGTTGTATGATGTGATATAAATAGGTGTTGATATGATGTTTTGAATGTGATAAAGTAGAAATAAATGTAAAAAGACTAAATTAATAGATAGTACGATTACTTTAAAAAAATAGATATTTTATTATGAAATGATAAAATGAAAAGATTGTTAAGTGACAGATGGAGTATAAAAATAAAAAATAAATATTTGATTTGATATTTTTAGAAAAAAAAAAAATTGAGATTGGATAATATATTTGTTACGTATGAAATTTAGAAGTAGGTTAAAAAGCCCAAGGTAAAAGAAAAATGGGCCTGGCAATAGAGTTGATTGAACTGGCTGAAGGACACCGTGAGGAAATCAAGGAAAATAGGTTTATTTCTAAGGAAAATACAGGATGGAAAGACCTCAGGTCGGAAAGGAAAGACCTCAGGTCGGAAGGTCCGCAGGTCGGGAGGTCCTCAAGACGGAAAGTCCTCAGGTCGGAAGGTCCGCAGGTCGGAAGGTCCGCAGGTCGGAAGGTCCGCAGGTCGGGAGGTCCTCAAGACGGGAGGTCCTCAAGACGGAAAGTCCTCAGGACGGAAAGACCTCAGGTCGGAAGGTCTTCAGGTCGGGAGGTCCTCAAGACAGAAATTCCTCAGGACGGAAAGACATCAGGTCAGAAGGTCCTTAGGTCGGGAGATCCTCAAGACGGAAAGTCATCGGGACGGGAAGTCCGCAGGTCGGGAGGTCCTCAGGTCGGAAAGTCCGCAGGTCGAAAAGTCCTCAAGGCGGAAAGTCCTCAGGTCGGACAGGTCGGGAGGTTCTCAGGTCGGGACTCTGCGGCAGGACCAACAAGTCGGATGGTCTGTTAGTCGGGAGGTCTGTAGCTGAACCAAACAAGTCAGATGGTTTGCAAGTCGGGAGGATTGGCAGTCGGGCCAAAAGGGCGGAAGGTATGTGGTCGGCTCAAAGAGTGAAATATAGTGACAATTTTGGTCCGCTGAGGACACGTGTCAGCAGGATAAGGGTTGGAAGACGGTTGGAAAGGAGACGTTGTAACCGTTCGGGTGACGGTTTTCAGTACAGTTTCCCAAAGAATATTTAAGGATTTGGATCATCATTTGGCAAGGCATCTTCAATCAACTTCAACAAAGCAAAGTCAGATTTGGGGATCACCACTTTAAATTTCAGTCTTTTATTTTCCAGTTTATTTTCTGTACCATACAGTGTTTAGAGATTCCTAATCTCAGGCACTAATTAATAAGTTTAAGGATATTTTCTATATCTTTGAATTTTACTTTATAAAAATCCCCGAACAAACAGACCCTAAATAAAAATCACGCACAAGAGACAATAAGAGATTTGATTCAAAATCAATTTTTATCCTTTAATCTTCCTCGTAGTTTATCCGTTACAAATTAAGTTTTATCTGATTATTTTGGGTGTGTTTGTTTGAAGGTTTGGATTTTGAATTGGAATTTGAATAATAAAAATTTTGAATTTGAATAGTTATATGATGTGATATAAATAGGTGTTGATGTGACGAATGTAAAATTGATTTTTAGTATAATATAAAAAATGAAAAATATGTGTTTGATTTAATATTTTTGGGGGAAAAAAATATGATGAATAGTGGAAATCCAAACAAATCCCTCAAACAAACACACCCTTTATTTATTTTATTTTATTATCAATTTCACCATATTTACTGTTAATTTAAGTCTTTAATGTGTTCATATTCGAATTTATTTATATTTATATTTCGACATAATATATCTTTAACTTATCATATATCACTATACTAGCTTATTTTATAAAAATTGTGATATTAATTTAATTTTTTGATAATAAAATTTTATATGAAGATAGTCAAAACTAATTTATATAAAAAATAAATTATATAGATAAAAAATACGGTAACTAAATCAAATAAAAAATATTAAGTAAGCGAATCAAAATTTCATAAATATATATTACAATTTGAATTCAAACATAATAGAGATAAAAAATAATCATTTATAATCACTCTCAAATTTAAAATCAAAATAAATTTTTTTTAAAAAAAATTTAGTCATTTATATATGGTTGTTAGCTTTCAACAGTGAACAATATTTAAACAACATACTAAATAATAGTAAATTACAAATCAAATAAAACTTATATACCGTTTTAAATTCAAACTTAAGTTAGATTTAAAATATTTTTTTTTTACAATCTGATTAAATGAAACATTATAATAAATTTTGAAATAAATTCACAGCTATAGATAAAAGAAATTAAAAAAAAATCACAATTTTCTTATCGCATTTTCTCCTTTATAGCCAATTTGAAAAGAAACTTTTTAAACAATATATCAACAAAAATAAATAAATAAATATACTAACAAAAGTAAAACAATATTGCAAAATATTAAGTAATAAAAATTATAAATTACAAAATTTATATTTCAAATGAAATCAAATATAAGTTTGAATTAAAATATTTATTAACAAATTATATTTGATAAAAACAAAAGACTCAAAATTTGAATATAATTTTAATTTTTCAAAACAAAAAATAGTATTAGAATAATAATATTCTAAACCAAATTAATTAGAAAAAATATATATATAATAAAAATAAATAGATATATATGTTTTATATTTGAGAAGAATGTGTTCCTCGACTCTAATAATAGATATTAATTTATTGTTTTTATTTTTATTTTTAATTATTTTGTGCTTTTTTTAATATATTTTATATTTATATAAATACGCATAATATTTTAAATTATGATTTAATATTAGGACAAAGACGCGGTAGAAGAATTCAATGAAGGCGAGGGTGAAGCCGGAAAAAAATAAAACCAAACATTGAGAAGAAAGAGACAAAAAATAAAGGAAGAAAAAAAACAGGTGAAAAAAATATGTAAAATTTTGTATACTTGTTAGTTTTTATTTTGTATTGTGTATAGATAATTTTAGGTGTGAGCAAAATATTCGAAATCCGAAAATTCAATCAGAACAAAACCGAAATTTAAAATTTGGTTCGAATTTTTCGGATTTTTGGATTGGATCGAATTGAATTTTTAACAAATTTTGGATTTTCGGATCGGATCGGTATACTTAAAATCCGAACCGATCCGAAATCGGAAATATAATATTTTTAATATATTTTTTTATTATATATATTTAATATTTTATTAGAAAATATTATCTTTTAATATAAAAAACTCAAATTTATTAATTATATTTTAATATATTTAATTTTTATATATTATATATTTAATATTATAAAATAATAATAAAATATAAAAGAATTTAAAATTTTAAAAAAATAATAATAAAAATATTTAGAATTTCGGATTTTTCTGTTTGGTTCGGATTTTTTAGTTCGGATTACGGATTTTCGGATTTTGAATTTCGGTTATTTCCGTTCGGTTCGGATTGATTTTTTCAAAAAATTCTGATTTTCAGATCGGTTCGAATTTGGCAAAATCCGAACCGAAAATCCGAATGCTCACCTCTAGATAATTTGACATAATTTTATTATTTTCTGTATATTTTATGAATTTTTTATTTTATTACTCTTATCAAATAATTTATATATTAGTTTGTATTTAATAATAAAATAAAAACATATTTTTTTATTTATATGTATTGATAATATTAATTATAATTCAATGATTTAAATTTTCTTAACAACTATCTATAGCGATCTATTAGGAATTGTTTGAAGTATAATAATGCATTGTGTACAGAACTCTATTTTTTAATCTTTTTTTTTTTAAAAAAAATATTTATTTATTTATTTAATACTCCCTCCGTCAAGTTTGAAAATATACATATTTCTATTTTGGAGTGTCCAATTATAAATAAATTTTTCATTAAATACTTTACTTTTTTCCACAAATACTCGTACTTTACATCACATCATTATTTTTACACCAAAAAACAAGGCAAAAATATTATTACATTACTTTTAACTACTTATTATAATTAAAATAATATTATTTTTTAAACACCGCACCAAAAATAAATGTACACTTTATATGTGGAGGGATGCAGTATTCATATTTGATATACTTTGAATATATTATGTATAATATTTATACATGTATTTTATATGCAAAATAAAATTATTTTTTTATTATTTTTTAAAAATTTATCATTGTAAGTTATTTATTTATTTATTTTTTTTAATATTCAAAGTAAACCAGCAACAAACTTACATCAATCCTTGCAATAAGGTGAAATAGTAGATTTATAAATAAATAAATATACTAAATAATACTTCCTCCGTTCCACATATTATGTTT